ACGGTGAAGCACACAGAGCTGTGGGCCTTGATCGGAGTTTTTCAAAAGCAGGTGTAGCACTTCCCCAATAAAACTAAGTTGCTTGCATTTGCTAGTTAAGCTACCTAGCTTTTTAAAATCTGTTTCCTGCTCTTAGTTCTGCACTGTTGCCTTGTATCGCTCCACAACTAACAAGTCCAACAGAGGAAGGTTAGTAACGGAAACTTCTCCGTAGCAACAACATAAAAGCAGTGTGACCAGGGCCCTGGAGACATTAACATCCTTCAGTTGTGGTATGCGGTTAGCTGCTACGATCCAGAATGACATGAATGCATCTTTAGAACCCAACTAGGAGCTAAAGTGCTGTCCTGCTCCCTGGAGAACCCCTCACTTTCCCCTCTGTTCTGATAGCCAAAACTTGCCTGCTTCTCTCCAGCATGGCTACTTTTTTTCCAGCTGCCCCTCTGCTGACTGCTTTTGCTACAGGGTAGTGCCCCCTAAGGTTCCTCTCATGCTAGGAGTTCAAAGAAAACAGAGGGTCTTTTGTGGAGCACTGGCAGATTTAAATAAAGCAGACAGGCAGCAGGGTGAATCAGGTACAGTGCAGCCATTTTTATTCACATTAAATTATTACACTGAGAGTTGCTGCAACACAACAGCATACCTGGGAAAGAAGAGGCTCAAGATTGTGGAGCAAGGGGCAGGCAGGGTATGGGAACTCTTTACCTCACTCCTAAAAACTTGAGTTCAGGACAATTTTTTCCAATAGGGGTAATCTTTTCAGTCTGACTGAAAAGGCTTTCCAGCCTCAGAGGCTCCAATACAAGGAACAGTGACCAGAACAGTGTGGTTACAGGTATGTGAAGCTGATACAGGAACTAATTTCCTTCCATCTGCTTATGACCCTTTGTTTTATTTTTACTAGCTGCTTCCTTATGCTTGGTGTAAAAAATGCTTTTATTGAGCAAATATTACGTTAGTACGTTTGGAGGTGAAGTTATTTAAAATAAATACATATTTTGGTGCAAAGTTTGTGCAGACCACCAGTTCTCCGATGAAGAGGAGCAGTAGCACCTTGTTAGTTTCTGGATGTGAATGGAGCAGAAGGGAGCTTCATGTCTAAGGAAGCATTTTTAAATCTGTAATTACAGTTGGATAATAAATAGAACTACAATTTCTTCACTTGTCCCCTTCTCTTCCCCCTGGGTACTGTGATGATGGCATTTGCATACAGTAAATTCAGAGGATCTTTATGGAGAGCTGTTCTTTATGATGAGAATGAGGCTGGACTGTCTTTTCCATTTCTTTTAATTCTAAATCGCAAACCTGTTGGGAAGAGGGTTTCAGTGGGCAAAGCTTCTTTTAGAGACAGGCAAGCCTCAGTGCTGAACACAGAAAAATGATCTTTACTGAAATATTAAGCTCTGCACATAAAGAACACGTAACAAGTAGTTCATCTCCCAAGACTGTTTTATGGAAAACACAGTTCTGCTACAACGCTTCAGTGTTTTTCGATGAAAGCTACAGATGAGATCTGAACCCAGTTTTACCCAGGCTGCACTAAGAAGCAGCTTTCCTGAGAAATACATCGGGGAGGTTTTCAGGGTTCCTGTTTTTTGTTTGTTTGTTTCCCCCCCTTGCATTTTAATGCGATCACCCCCCCTTAGCTGCCAGCATGCCTGTTCTTCAGCTGCTATGAGATCTTCTCGGTGAAGGCTGATACCCAGCTTGTTTTTTGGAGCAGCAGTGAGCTGTTTGGAACAGACGCCTTCCCAAGCTTCCGCCACAGAAGGTAACGGCTGCGGCTGCTATTTCCAACCTGCGTATTGCTGAGAGGACATCCTCCCACAAGAGTTTGGATCAGCAACTCCCTGAGAATTCAGCCTGGTCAGTGCTGAGGATCCACCTGAGATGTTATGCAAGAAACCGCTCCATCTGTTAGGGGAGACAACTTGGTCTGGCATCTCTGAACAGGCAGGAGAACAGTCATTTCTGGCTTTTACGATCAAGTTTTACTGAAAGAGTTGAATCAGACCCGCTGTTGTTGAAGGAGAAAGCAGACAGCGGCAACAAGAACGGGCCAAAGGACATGCTACACAAAAGAACTTGCTGCAAGCAGGCTTCCTCTGCCCCCTTACCACTCAGACTTTAAAAACGTAGAGCAAAGACAACCTTTAATACTCTTGTTTCTCTCTGTAGTAACCTTGTTAGTGCTTGGATGAAGAGTCTGAGAGAAGTCTTTGTTGTGGCATCTGCTCTAGCTGGTTTTAACTGATGAGTCTGTAGATGTACGATTTCTTTTTTGAAGTGAGACTACCACTTTGGTACAATGACAGGTTTAAAACTTATTAGTGTGCTTTTACCAAAACATTAATTGGACTAGAGAAAAGCACAATAACACGGCTTGAAGGAAACATTCTCATTCAAATACTGATTTAATGCAGGACCTAAAGCCATAAACCCACAAATTCACTGTTTCCCTCCATTCTTGTCCTGTTCTTCCAAATGTACTCAAAACCTTGACGAGTTTCCTCACACCAGAAATAGCAGTGCAGCACACTGGGTGACAGAAGTACTTGACAGCACCACTTTGGAACAGATTGCTCCAAGCACGCGTATCAGCAGCCAGTGCCAAGTATCAGCGCAGAGCTGTTTAGCTGCTCGCTCTTTGACAGCAGTGTCGGCTTTCACCTAAGCTGCAAGCTCCAAAAAAGAGCCCAATGGCACAGGGGTTTAATCAACTTTTAGGGTAACCAGAAGGAGTTATGTTGCCTTACACGCAGGAGAAAAAAAGCAAACTGAACCAGCTCTAATGGGAGATAACGAAGACATGCAGAACACAACACAGACACTAAAAATAAGCAGCACTGCTCATTCTGGATCAACAAAAAACCCCAAAGTCATGTGGCTGTGCTGGCTACTGTGTGGAAGCGCAAGACGGCTGCCACGTGCAGGAGAAGGAAGTGAATGTGGTGACTGGGCAAGCTCTATAGGCCTGATCAAAACACACCTAGAGAGCGAGCAGCAGCCTAGCTGGTACGAGCTCCCAGCATTTGAGAAGTGCTGCAGGTGCCAGACATTCGCAGCCCCCCACGACAACAGGCCAAAGAAGAAGTATGACCTGGTGAGAAAGAACAGGAAGGAGGAGTTACAAAGTTGCAAAACAACCTACTTAATGGCCTCAGGCTGAAAGGCAGATTTTTTTCACATAGTTTTTCCATAGGGAGACTTAGACCAGAACTCCCAAGTCCCATGCTACAGTTTATTGATAATTAAAATAAAAACCTGGATAGAAATAGTTCCAGTGTTAAGAAGATCCGGTACCGAGATAGAATGCTGAGGCTCAACAGAAGACCAGGATGGGCTAAGCTGCAGGAAAACAGCACTGACTGCATTTCTCCTCTGGTACAACACAGGAGACTCTGCTCACAAGAGAAATACGCACTGACAGACGGCATTGTGTGCTAAGTCAGTACAAGTTACAACAGCTGTCAATTTTCATCCTTACAGAGCATTCACGATGGCGTTTTCCAATAGGAGGATATCACCACCAGCAACATGACGCTCCAGCCCAAGTGATACAGGCTCTCTTCCTTTCCATTCAGATGCAAAGACTGACCTAAAGTGACCTCCTACAAATTCTGGTACAGTCCAGGCTTGCACAGACATGCTGATTGCATTTCATCCAGTTATACCGCCAAAACCAGTATGTATGACAGCTATTCAAATAATACTCGGAAGTTCCTGGATGTGGACAGAGACAAAACCATGCTGGAAAGAGACGCACAGGACGCTGGTGCTACGCAATCCATAGCGGGCAACTGTGAAGAGGGGGAAAAGTATTTAACAAGGACACAGGGTTCTACTTCTTTAATTTCAAAGCCTGTCCAGACCAAAGAAGCTATCAGTGACCCAAGTCAAACAAAAAAACCCAACATCAAACCCTAAAAAAGCCCTCACTTCAGTCTGGAAAACACTGTTGCAGTTTTTGAGCCCCCAGAAGGACCTTCCCTCACCTATTAACCCTTTGGAATGGAGGGCAAGGAAGTAGAAGAGAACTGCACAACCATTCTCAAACACCGCCCCCCCCCCCAATCAAGGCCCACCCCCCCCCCCCCCCCCCAATAAGTCTCCAGCACTCCATACTCTAAAATACCAGATCAAAGCACCCAGTGTTAGCAAAGAACACCTACTGAAAGCCCCTCCCCAGCTCAAATTCTCAGTATTTAGCCTATAGCAAATGCAGGTAATGCTCTGTGGTTTCCCTGGGGAGAAAATAAAGCTCCATCCCAAATACAAACCCAAGCTCAGGCTACTCGAGCTCAGTTGAACACATTTAGTCATGGACACGACAGATACCTAAAAGAATCTCTGCAGCCTTGAGTCAGGTTTTCCCTGTGCATTTAACGAGCAGGTACAGCGTGCATCACATTTTGGGACTCTGGCTCCCCTCGATGCTGGAGGCACCGAGGTTGCGAGGTAATTTCGTCAGTGAGAGATTTCATCATCACACCAACCGAGTGGCAGGTTTGCTCTTGCCATGTAGCAATGTGCTGCGAGGAGATAACGCGAGAGTCTTTTATTTTTAATTTAGCAGAGGCAAGATAGGGCGGAGCACAGCTGTGCTTCTCCCTGGGACCTGCACACTGGAAATTCTCCGGGCTGCCGGACTTTCCAGCACTAACAGACCAGACCTGTTCAGAATGACAAACGGCAAACCCATGCCAAACGGGGATTGTGATATTCGTCCCCCTCCCTGCGTGCTTAAGACGAAGCAAAGCTAATTTTCACATTAAATACTAAAACGTCTGCACCTAAATGTGAGGCGGTCGAGTCACTGCCAAGTGACTGGAATGTATCCGACAGTTTATACCTGGAATTACTCTTTGGCTCTTTTTCAGTTAGATCCAGAAACCACACCACACCCAGATTCTGTTCCTATACCACCACTGGCTGAAATCCTAATCCTTGGTTCCTCAGGTGCCGTACAGTATTGGAGAGAAAAGGAGGGTCTTAGTCTTCTATTGAGGATGTACTTCTGAATAGAGCAGTCCTTCAGCTGAGATCGCGTCCCCGAGTCCCACGGTCCGGACGGGATCTTTACACACCAAGACGGGAGTGAAATGGAACGAGACGCCTTCTCTTTGCCAACACGCCACCGGCTCGTCCGGATTCAAAGAGATTTTGGAAGGCGCCTCGATCTGAGAGGTCACAAACTCCAGAGGGGCTTTAAGGAAGACTTTGCTGGTGTCGATGGTTTCGGTGGCACAGGCCTGAGTCCCCGCTGCTCGAGCTCCGGCAGCCACAGCTGCAACCTGGTTGCCCCAGTAGCCGTCCACCGTGACAAGGATGTGGTAGGCCAGGGTGTGGAAATGGATGCGTGTGAGGTCGGAGGCCCGCTCTGCCGTCTTCCCGTGCTCCTTTAGGATCCAGAAGAGGATGTCGCTCACTACGCCCACATCGGGAACTCCGCTCCAGGAGGCGAGGGAGGCATGGGGACCAGAGGCAGACTGCGTGAGGAACAGCAGCTCCTGCTCGTTCAGCCCAATGGAGTTCACCAGGGGAAAGACCTGCTAACAGAAACACGGCAACAACGGGGGTTTCGTTCAGGGAGAGGATCAGGCGCTCACATTCCTCATTCTGAGCATTGTTTATACAATACTGCATTAACGGCTCAGCAGAAGGGAGCACCCAGTTTCCTGGAGGTGCAGGCCAAAGTCACTGCAGAAGCCTCCCCCCCAGTTCTGCAAGGATTACTTAGCCAGGAACACATTCCATGCCAAGGGTGCGTGCTCATTTTGTGCAATTAATTTTCTGGACACACGCTTTGGCATTAAAGAGAAACAAAACATCAAATCCACCCATAACACTGAGATTAGAGCAGTGTCAAGCTAAACAAGGAACCATCAGTTCTGCAAAGAAACCAAGTTTTTAATTTATAAACTCAGCTCAAATTCACAACCTCTTTTTTTTTTTCTAGAAATCTGCAAGCCTGCTAAATCTAAACCAGTGGAGCTGTGAGTATTCTCTGGGGTCACTTTCCTGCCACGACTGCAAAAACCCCTATCTTTCTATCAGGAACCAGAGCCCAGCAGTGCCACACGGCATTTTTTACTGAAAACAGTTCCTGCTTTAACTCAGATCTGCACAAAACCCTTACCCCTTGCTGAAAACAGTCTGATGATCAACTGAGGGCATTGTAAGATACCTCCTAAATGAAACCTTCCAGAAAGACCTTTCTAAAAGGCGTACTCTCTCTGAGTTAAACAAATCCATCTTCTGACTCTGGTAAGCTCAGTAGAACTGCAACACTCAGAATGCAAAACCAAACATGAAACCCATATTTTCTCTATTTATCTTCAAAGGGATAGCCTTCATTTTAAGTCTTCATTTCTACATTCAGTCTGCGTGCATTGTGATCCTGAAGAAAGAGGGAACTTATAAAAAGAGCAGTGTCCGCTTTAGTTTTTGTTACCTGATGTATAATGTTGCTCATAAAATCCTGATCAGTCATACTGGCCAACTCCAGGTGTATGGGAATGTCGGTAGGGATATCGGAGATAGAGGCCACGGCCTACAGGAAAAATAAAATAAAAACCACCACCCTAAACCACATATTCACTAAGAAATAGGAAGAGCAAAGGGGCTTGGACTCAGACACATCCTTTAATCTCCTCATGCATGGGTTTAATCACAATTTGAGATATCTGACAAGTGCCCAAATGTACTGCTAAGGGGAAGTAATAAAAAAAACCTTCCAGTTTTCAGAATCCCACAGCAGGAAACTGCATCTGACCCTAATCTGCACCCAACTCAGCAGTTTTCTAATAGACTAATTCAGAAACCTCACAAGTGTGAAGCAGCTGTAGAACAGCTGATCCTAAAACAGAGAGGAAAAAACCAAACGGGTAGTGCGTTGCACCAGAAGGGCACTCAGCTTTAAGACAGGCAGTGATCTGTACATAAAAAGAAAACTTTGGGCTCAAATGAGGAAGCTGCCTCTTGGATTATCTAATATAGATGCTGCTTAAAGAAGGCAAGTCTTGATTATAATCACTGATCATCTTAGCATCTGGGGTAGAAAAAGTGTAATTTAGCCACTAGAGAAGCTCCAGTAACCACGTTAATGTAGTGCAACCAGACAACCAGACCGTACTTTCTTTCTCCCCCTGGACAACTCATGGAATCTAAGAAACACCAGTACTACAGGATTAAGACTTTTGCCGTTGCTACAGTTCACATTCTTCTTTTAACGTGCAATGCTGGAAAGATTTGTGTGAGATCTGCAAACACAACCTATTTCAAACCTGGAAAACCAAGGCTTTGCCGTGAGGCACTTCCTGGAGTGGGAATTAAGGAGACGCTGGTGTTCGAGTATCTTACTTCCATAAGTCGCCTCTGCCGCATCTCCTTGCTCTGGCCTTCCATCATGTGAAGGCCTGAAAGAACCACCAGATCTGGCTGAAATTCATCCAAGCTGGACACAAACACTTCGAGCATGTTTAAGGCGCCGTTCGATAGGTCGTGGGAGAAGATGAAGCGGTTGGCACTGGGCGCTTTCACTTGTCCCCACTCTTCGCCTGAAACAAACGAGCAGGTTAACGGGGCAGAGAAGCAAATGAAACCACGTACCTGGAGATGGTTTCAGGCAGGAGTCCATCAGAGCGGATGCTTTAGGTGCTGCCTCACATGAGTTTTGCTGCTGAAAAAACTTTAATTAAGGCAGTTCTTGCCTTCCTTCCTTGCTAAATACTCCCTCTTCTGTCACACAAGTGCAACTCTCTGTGAAGCTGTATTTTGAGACCCAGTGAAATGGTTCCAGTTAAGAACAGCAAGAAAACACGTGCAGGTTTGTTACAGCCAGTACATTAGGGTTGCCCTGAATTTCATCTGTGTGTGGTTAAATACATTTCTCTTTTCAGAGAACATTATTGGACTATTTTAGTGTTCATACAGCTTTAGAAAGACAGCCATCAGGTCTGCTTGGGCATCACTTAAACAAGTTTCAAAAGACTTTTAGATGTCTGCTTGGCTACCACAGCAACCTGAAGCTGTGGAATTAATTACCCGAGTAGCCCAGTGACATCTGCCAGTGCTGGTAATTTACACAGCCCTTCTGGGGGTAACCAATTCAAAACCCAACAACTTTACAGCTGGGAATATCTTAGTGATGTTCGGGGTTCCCACCTAACATTCAGCCTTTGGCAAGGTACCTGCTTGATACTCCAAGATAAGATGGAATTCATCTCTTTCCTGCATGGATTCAGGTGGCACAACCACATTGTCGTCAAGTAGTTCGTGGAGTTTAGGGCCAACTGGGCCACAAAGGAGGACCTAGAAAACAAGAAAGAACAATCGAGGTTTCCCTGCCACGTCCCTTGCCACCATTTTGGTGCATTTAAGCATAACCTAGACAAAAATAATTCAATTTTAAAAGATCAGCTGTGCTTTTTAACTTGTGAGGCCACCTGTATGCTCCGCCATAACTGAAGAAATGACTGCAAGGTCCCCAAAATCTCCAAGGAAGTAATGTGAGCCTCGATAAAAGACAAGCGAATGGCATGGAATTTTTGGAACGCGTACCTTCAGGTCTGGATTTGTTGCAAGCTTCTGACCAATGAGAGCAGCATTTCCTCCTACGTAAAGCTGTAAAACAAACAGAGGCAGGTATGGGCATTCCCTTGCTCTGATAGCTTTAGACATGCTCAGGCCTCAGTACAGCCTAGAGATTTCAGCTTTTTAGAAAAGAGTCTAGCGTTACAGAAGTTAATAAAGCTTACTGGGGCTGAAGGCAAAACAATTTTACAATTCTCTGCTAGATGTCAGTAAGTTGAGTGTTCTCTGGCTTTTTTTAACATCTAAATATTTGCCTTCAGGTAACAGCCCTGTAAAAATCAATTAATTTATAACATAAACGGCTCTTACTTCGGCACAACTTCTTTGTGGCAGCTGACAACTTGTTTGTTTTTTTTAACCAAGGCTGACAAACAGTCATTTAAAAACTGCAACAATACTTCCTCCAGTTTGAAATCAAGGTGAAACCCACTACCTGTGCTCACATGCAGTTAGCAAAACCACGACAGTTTCTTCAGGTATGAAAGGTCAAGCTTTCAAGTAAGAAAACTCTGATGTGAGCTTTGAAACCAAAGAATATAGTTTGTTGTGAGGATCACGGGCACTCAGAGATGACAAAAAACAGGCTATAGAAGGATACAGCAAATAATTGTGTGATTCCAGCAAGCCTCTAAACAGAGAGCCAAAGCTCCTCGCTGGGTGGCAGACATACCTGTGCACCTGGGTACTCGGAGGCTGTCCGCGCAATGTGATGGAAAGACTCGGCATCGCTGAAGAAGCGCTCGGCGGCTGCGCCTTTTTCCATGAAGTGAGCAAACGCTTCTTTCAGGTCCTGCCCGGAGTTCAAGACGGCATGATTTTTTCCGTCCCCTGGTTCAAGGCCGAGCGCCTCAAACAACTTCACGCCAGAGAGAACCACGTCCACACAGGCGTTGACGCTGGGAGAGAGAAGGAAAACGCATACTGAGAAAACCACACGTACCTCGGGGCACTTGCGAGAGAATATAATAAGATCACTTCCCAGCTAAGGGGTGAAAAAAATAACCAAAAATAACCACAAAGGCATATGAATTTCCTGAAATTCTCTGCTCAAGCATGCTCTAGCACTGTAGAGGAGAGAGAGATTTCTGACATTCTGCTGAACTGAAACGAGAGAGTAAGCTGCGTGGTCCAAAGGTGGTTGCCTACGTTGCTGTTAGACTTCATTTGCTGCCTTAGTCTTGCTCAAAAAGAGAATAGGCACAATAAAAACAGCCTTCTAATTTTTGCTTTTAAAAACAAGCCTTAAATATATATATATTTCAAGTTTAAAATGTACATGCAATTCAAAACTTAAAAAACAAAACTGAAAGTATTTAAGTTTGCCAGACCAGCCTCTTGAGTTTCAGCTACTCCCAAACAACAACTAAAACCACAGACACCCCACACAGGGGCTGGTTCTGTTTATAAGAAGTCAGGAGAGCCATTTGTCAGTTGAAATATTTGAAAACTGCCATTTCAAAAAGCACCATCCCAAATTTCCACAAATAGCATGCTGCCTTCTCTCTAACAGTGGAAACAGGAGAAAAATCCTGCAACAGTTAGGAAGTTATAAGAACCATTTCAGCAGATCTAGACTTTAGTACTCCTCCTTGTCGGTGACCTTTCACGCATGATTTGGGCCACAACCCATGAAGGCTGCATCATAGAAAATACAGGACATTAAAAACCCCCAGGCTTTTCAGTACACGAGGTAACCAGCTCTGAAATCCCGTGTTGTGCATCATCTCGCACACTAAGAAGGGAAAAATCCCCTTGTGCAGCAGAGAGAAGAAAACCAAGGAAACAATAATCACAAGCAGCATTTTAGCCCCAAACCCCCAGCGGCAAAAGGTCAGAAATTTTGTATTTTAATGAATCATGAAAGACACAAAGGGATACAACGAAGTCACAGTTCTTTCTTGGAGACACCTCTAAATCACCTTCCAACTGTCTGTCTGCTCCCTCCCTGCCACTCTGCTAACATGCTTCATGCTTTAGTAAACTCCCTTAACAGCGGGGATGTGCTACTAATGAACTGTTTACTGCTGAACTTGGAGTTTGGTGTGCGTATATAGGTATTATATATATATAGATACAGATATCTTCAGTTGCTTTAAAGCAAAGAAGCAAGGAAGGAACAAACTGAAGGTACCTGGGTCTTTTCCACTGAAGGCATGGCAAAAAAGACTTAATGAGGCATTGGAAAACCTCTTTTGTCATATATTCACTGGAGAAAGCCTGCGTTGACCACAGCACAAGAGCACGACTCCAACTAATGCCCTATCAGCTACGCAGCCATCGAGGTGGCGTAACTTCTAACACCTGAAGGCCAAATCTTCTAGTCAAAGTCAAGTTATCCTGCCGTGTCCCTATATTTAAAAGAAAGCAAGTTGAGTGCTGTATGTCACAGCGAGATTGATGGTCAGACCTAAAACGGGCAGTTAAGATCAACGCGATACTCTTGAACTTTCCCCTCGCCCTCTTTCCAGTTTAAAGAAGCTTTGGATTTCCCTGAGCACGCAGGGGCGTCTCCAGCACCTCTTGCCTCCTTCTCTCCCTCATGTCTCTCCTGCGCGTCCCTGCCGAGACTTGGTGACTTCTCCCCTGTCAAGGCTTCCCCTGCTTCTCCACTTTATAAACGTGTCTCTCAGATCTATTCATTCCTAGATCGCGCTCCCCAACTGCCACCGTCCTGGGGAGCTCCAAGAGCCTCAGACTCTGTGTATAAATTTGTTGTACAGGCAAACTGGCGGGGGATAAGGTCTCCACAGACAGGCTTGAAAACCAGGTCTGAGCCGTGCAGGGCCCTGAAATGAATCATTGATACGTGAGCTTTCCGGACCGGACCGGTAATCCCCTCAGCAACGCAGCGGGGCCAGTGCCCCCGCTCTCTCAGGGAAATGCCCTCTCCTGGAAAACAACAGGCCTGGAAAATTAAGAGAGGTTTCGCGAACAGGCGGGAG